ACCAATTTCCAATCGACCTTACAGGTCAAGTACAACATAATATATGTATTGTTTATCGGAGACAGAGAAATATTAATTGGATTGAATGGGCCTACCTGAGCAATTAAATTATTTCCTTCAAGTGGGTCAAACTTTCGTTATAAAGGAAAATTTTGGATTTCGGTGAAGAATAACACAGGAACCCTAATTGAGAAACACAATGTCACAATTAAATAGGGACTGTAGTGGGTATGGGAAAAAAAATGAAGGGTTATTAATGTTGACATTGACAATGTTATATTAAGAAAACAAATACAAGAGCAGTTACACCTGCTGGCTTACCCGCTATTTCATTGCAGTCTGTGTAAGATAGCGATGTTAACGGTGCATTTCCTTCGTCTGGTAAAACTCATATTCCTGGGGGTGCTATATGAAATAAGCCTCCAGTAATTGATTAAAATTGACAATTTCGACTAGCTAATTTTCCTTGAAATTTTATTAAGAGATAATTTTTGTGTAAAATTTTTTCAATAACCTTAATTGTTATTTGATTGATGACTTTTTTACACTATTAGAACTAATAATATTATATAAATTTATTTATTTAATTATATATAAAAATTATAAATAAAAGTTGTACATATAAGATAGTATTTGGATTAATTATTTTAATATAGATAATAGTTGATTAGTAATAATTAATAATTAATAATTATAATTATTTATATTTCAAAATATATAAACTATTCAATTAAAATCTATAGTTAATAATTGTTCTTCAATGTGTACACCAAACACTCCATAAATTGTCTGGATGACAGGGTATATGACCCAGTTTTCCACCTTTTGATGAAGATTTGGTATTCCGACTGATAAAAATTTCCTGCCAATCACATCAATAATCAAAGACCATTGGTAATCTTTCAAATCTTCAAGCTTCTACAGTTAATAATCCAATAAAAAAGGCTTAGAGCATCAAATTTCATTGTTGGTGTCAACGTTTTCATGTAGCAACTACCATTTTATAGCACTTGTTAATTGGACAAACTTTTGTAACACCCTTATCTTTATCTTGAAATAAAAGGGCTAATACCAAATTTATTTCTTAACATCGAATAGTACGCAATGAAAATCATTTGTGCAAAAAATAAAAAAATCTTTGTTTTATTAACTGTAGAAGAATTTAGAAAGGCAGTGAGTTACTCCACTAAAACCAAACAGACCCTCTGAGTTCCCAAGTGTGTTTGTTGCTGCTGTGATGCTTCTCTGCTTCTGCTTTTAAGTAGAGATAGTGACATTCAACTTCTTTCCTACGGCCATGGATATGAAAACCATAGTTTCAGTAACCTTTCTGCTTCTGTTTGGGTTTGGGGTTGATGGAGTCGGTCTCTCCTATGATTTCTATGAGAAATGTATCATGCCCTCAGGTATAAAACATTGTCAAATCTGGCCTTCAAGCTATCTTTCTTAACGATCCTTCTTCTCTAGCAGCTTTGTAAAGACTTATGATATATTTGTTAAATGGTAAAATCTCACATTGAAATATAACTTAAATACAATGAGAGTTATTTCATTTATTGCTTGTAAATCTTGTGTTAAAATTTACATGCATAATTTTCACATAATATGAAAGCAGATGCTTCTTTTCTGGCACAATTTTCACACTACAACAGTTCAGGTCTCCTTCTTTTCCCCTTTCTCTTAGTGGCCAATTCACTTGTCATTAGTAGTAAACTTCTTTCGAGCAGCACACAAATAGAGAGCTGAAACATTCAGTATTTGCCTTCTTGTTGTTTGATGTTTGAGTTTGTCATAGGGTTATTGTGATGTCTCCATCTATCCTAGTTGATCTGGGTGAGTCCGGAAAACCTGAAAATGGAGATGTTTCGGCTAATAACTTTGGAATCAGGAAGAGGGAGTTGATAACAATTGATGAAATCTATGGTAGAAGCACAATGGCCCCAGGCAAGTTTCCGGTCCTGACATTATCATGATGGCAGCCCGTGAGGATGTTGCTATGTTCGGAGGGCCACAGATAGGTTCCCATTGAGCTACCAAAATCTTAAAAGCTCGAATTGGGCAAAAATTGATTGGGCACCTCACCATAAATATAAAAAAATTATTGTGCTATTATATTATAATTACAGCATGAATTGTAACTATATATATATCATTTAATTTGAGAGAAATAAAGGGAAATGAATGAAAACATATTGTACCTTTTTATTTTCTTCTCTCTCTTTATTTGAATTAATAAAGTAATTAATAATATATTTAATTTAAAAGAAATGAAAAGATAAAAAAGTTTTTAATTAATTAAATTATAATATTATTAAATATGACAATCTAATCTATCAAAAAATAATTTTCATTTTTCTTATTCTTCTCAAATCAAACACATTATAAAAAAATAAAACAAAATAAATATAACTTCCTTCTTCTCTCGTTCCCATTAATTTTTTTTATAACTAAATAAAAGATTTTCTTTTCCTCCTCTTACCACCTCTACTCCTCTCAAATTTAAATATATTATTAAATAAATATAATATTATAAATGAATATGTAAATGTGAGAGTTCAGTCTCATTACAACTGAATATCATTTTCGTTGTGCCATAACGTTGTGCTATTTTATTTAAAAATAAAAAAATTATTATATAATTTTTTTTTGAACAGAATTATATTGTAGAGGGATGAAAGAGTGAGAGGGATTAAAACTCAACCTGCTGAGAAACGCTGAGAAGTGTTATGTGGAGAACAACTAGTTCTTTTACCCCCGAGCTTCTCAAAAAATATATATAATTTAATTGTTAAAAATTACACAATTTTAATTAATTGATGGAAAAAAATTCTGTAATATTGGAAGAGGAATGCTAACTGCACTCGCCTTTCTCCAGCACTCTCCAACACTCTCTCATGTAAAATGTCCACGTAACAAAATTTGGCTCGCAATTCAAAGTTTCCAACTAAAAAAGTTCACGTGGCTATTTTAGATGAGGGAGTGTTCGAGAGTGTTGGAGAAAGGCGAGTGCAGCTAGCATTCCTCGTATTAGAAACTAGCTCTCTATTTTACGATGGGCAGTGCTAAGGGCACTCGCCTCTTGCACTCTCCGGCCAAATCTTTCACTTTTATTGGGCCACGTTATTTTGTTTCGTCGGAGATTGCAGTTCAGAGCCTAAAATAAGCTTACGTGGCCCAATGAAAGGGAAATTGTTGGCTGGAGAGTGCAAGGGACTGCTTTTTTACAATTTTACACATTTTTTACCATAAAACATGAAACTTTAAAGAGCAATGCTAGGGGCACTCGCTTTTCGCACTCTCCGGTCAACACTTTCTCTTGTATTGGGCCACGTTATCTTGGTTCCGATAAGTTGCGCCTGAAAGCTTGAAAGAAGCTTACGTGGCCCAATACAAGGGGAAGTGTTGGCCGGAGAGTGTGAAAAGCGAGTGCCCCTAGCATTGCTCAACTTTAAAAATGGATAAGGCTATAATGAAGCCTGAATCATTTTCTTTGTCTTGAACAAAAAAATATATATGCTCTTTGGAGTTGAAGAAAAAGAAGAGAGAAATGGATCAATCCTCGATGGAGAAGCTGATCCTCGTGACCCGGGAACCGGACGGAATCGCGACGATCACCATCAACCGGCCTAAATCCCTCAATTCGTTGACCCGGGCAATGATGAAGGATCTCGCTCAGGCGTTCAAGTCCCTGGGAAAGGACGATTCCGTACGGGTCATAATCCTTACTGGGTCGGGTCGGGCGTTCTGTTCTGGCGTCGATCTGACGGCGGCGGAGGACGTGTTTAAGGGTGATGTGAAGGACCTGGAGTCTGACACTGTTGCCCAGATGGAACGGTGCCCCAAACCCATTATCGGAGCCATTAACGGGTTCGCAGTCACCGCCGGGTTCGAGATTTCCCTCGCTTGTGATATTCTGATTGCAGCTAAAGGAGCCAAATTCATGGATACCCACGCTAGGTTTGTATCTCTCTGCTTCCTTCTTTCTTAGTTGCCATTATATTTGTTCATAATTTGGGGATTTCAGTAAATTTTCATTTGAAGTTGGATTATGGGTCATGGTAAAATGCTAGGTGTTTGTATGTTTCTGCTTCTTCTTTATATGTTTCTTGAATTTGGTAATAGTTCGAAATTTGCATTTGAAATTGGATTCTGGGTTCTGGTAAAGTGATTATCTTTACAAAATTCTACTGCAGGTTTGGGATATTTCCTTCTTGGGGGCTGTCACAAAAGCTTTCACGCATAATTGGACCTAACAAAGCTCGGGAAGTATCACTAACATCCCTGCCTTTAACTGCTGAGGATGCTGAGAGGTGGGGCTTAGTGAATCATGTTGTTGAACAAGGTGAAGTGTTGAACAAAGCCCGACAGGTTGCATCAGCAATATTGAAGAACAATCAAGGCCTAGTGTTGAAGTACAAAGCCGTGATAAATGATGGTCTCAAGCTTGAAATGGGTCGTGCTCTTGCTCTAGAGAAGGTATTTCTGTTTATCCTATCCTTGTGTTTCAAGGATTACATTGGATTTATACTATCAATATGAATGTCTGATTCTTTCAAATTCACTATAAATGCTTCCTGCCTGCTTAAGTTTGTAGATAGATGCAATCAAACTTTAGAATTTTGTGGCTGGCAATGGTTTTGGTGTTTGATTTTTTCTTGTTTGTGAACAATGTGATGAACCAAGTTTATATTTTCTTTTGAATTTAATTTCTCTGACTATAACCTTGCCAGCCACTGCTGTGAAGCACAGCATTAGAAGTTTCCTTTTTGCCCTGAAATATGGAGTTACACATTCTAATGGTGTATACAAGTGTTCCACATGGTAATTACAAATAAAAAAAGTGTTTTGCAGTCTGGACTGCCAAACACCAGACTCATTACAAAGACATGTTCTTGATATTTGATTGGTTTTCTTTAGAGGTAGGAAGGTAGTTCAGAAGGTAATTCAAGTTTTATCTGGTGCCCCTCCCTTTCCCTATAAAGGGTGAAATCGTAAAACTCAATTAATTCCCCCATCAATTTTTAGGTCTTTTATTTCTTCTTTCCCCTACTTCAATCTGTACATGGTCCCTGAGAAGTATGTTATAGGATTTGAACCATTGAAATACTAAGGTGTAAAGGGAAGCCAAGAAAAACAAAGGAGACTATAAAGTATGCTGGATTTTGAAATTTCTATTAGAGGAATCTCATTTATAATGGTGTTGACCTAGCTTTAACACCCTAATAATGACTGAAATTTTTTCAATTGACTGATCTTTTTGATGCTAATGTCCTGATTCTTTTCAGGAGAGGGCTCATGACTATTACAATGGAATGACGAAGGATCAGTTTAAGAAGATGCAGGAGTTTATAGCTGGTCGGAGTTCACAGAAACCTTCTTCCAAGTTGTGATCTACTAATGTTCTTGTTGCTTGCCCCTTCGTTGTGGAATAAAAGTACAGTGCCACCAATAGTTTGAAAATTTGAATGAATAAATCCTTGGCTTCAAGATCAGTGATATTGCTACAAGCAGCCAATGTTGATATCATAAGCTCCTAGGAAGGGGTTTAGCTTTAATTTAATTGATCAAGTTGGCTGAAATGATAAGTGGATTTGACCTTAATTCTTCCTCTCTTTTTGGTTATTCTTGGTTTCTTCTCGGTGGACAAAATCCATGAAACCTTGTTGTGGGAAGAACTGTGAGTTGGGTCCCTTCAGAGGATCCTCCCAGCGCTGAATTCCATGAAACAGAAGAAACAAAAAGTATGGTGAGATGGTCACCACTCACCATTGCTTTCTAGCTTTTGAGTCATTTTCTATGGTGCCCCCTTCTTGTTGGTATTTGACAGCTTCCCACTTATCAATTTGTCATTTTCACTGATGTACAATTTTCACTGATGTAAGTTAGGAACATTAACACATCAAACCAGCTCGCTTATGCTGCATACCACATGATGCCAACATCAGCCCCAAAGCTTGAATGATCAACATGGATGGATTTGAAAACTGGACTCTCTGAGACCCTGTATAAATTATTAGTTGTTGATTATTTAATTCAACAGTTCAAACGATGGGGCTACTATTTCAAAAACTGATAATTTATAAAAGATTTATGCGTAACTGGTCCATGGTTTATTGTCAAAATGGGAGGTTATGACTTTACCAACAAAGGAGGGTAGATTTTCTACATCAAGCAACGCATTAGATGGTGATTGATGAAGAAATATGATTAGAAATACGTCGATCCTATCTAGACTTCAAACTGATGAACTGATTTTCAGGATTCCCCAATATTGCTTGACTTCATTATCCTTTTGCCAAATTTGCTCAAGCATTATACTCAATCTGTGTTAAGATGATAGACGTTAGGGTTCTACTTTATCTTTAATTTAAAGATAATTTATATTTTTATATTTAAAAAAATTATGTTATAAAAATAATTAAAACTAAAAGATAATGATAAAATTAAATTAAAAAATAAAAAATATTAATTTCTCTTAAAATATATAAAAAAGTTACTAATATGAGACAAAATTTTTAAAATTTGTTTATTATTCTAATAGCAAGTACATGACAAATGAGTGTAGTTTCCAAAAGAAAGAAAAAAAACTTTGGAAAAGGCAATGCTCAGAAGAAAGCACCAGGTGAAGCTTATTTGGAGAGAATCTCCCATTTATGTAGTAGATACATACAGAGTAACCATTTTAAACAGCAATAAGTAGGTTGCTTATTTAATCATAGATGATCTCCATCTTTGAGTGTGCAACTGCAACACGCTAATTATTTTTTTTTTGGAAAACTTTTTTTATTTTATGATGAAATGCAAAACACCTTTTTTTTTTTTTTTCTGGTTTTTAAAGGGAGCATAATATGGAGATTAAACAGTTGCAACAATATTAGCAGATAGATTATTGATGGCATTTGAATACAAATGATAACAACCAAGGTGTTAGAATTACTATTTTTAAAATAAAAATTAGTTATTAGCTCTAACAGATTAGATTAGATAATTAAATTAGACTATTTTCATTTATTTTAAATAAATTTAATTTAACTTTAATTTTTAACTTTTTATA